GTTCGTCCATAGATTATTGTCTCCCTCACGATCTAAGGGAAGGCAGTATGAATGCTTCTGTGTGATTGCGATTGATTCCGAGCCACATCAAACAAAGTTTCGCATGTTTAGTTAGAATAATTACACTGGCCCTAACCACGTAGGTAATCTGTACCTAATGAAAAGTCTCAGATCAACAGTTGATAAATTTATGGACTGATCCTAGGTTTCAGTTTCATCTTCCATGGATTTCTCCCAGAATTACTCATACACTAGCAAATATTATTCGTTGTGATGAGCGTTAGTTTGGCATATGTAGTACTTGTTCTTGACCATTTCACTTGATTTTGGTCAATCATAAATAAGTGAATACACACTGTACCAATTTGTAGGAATTCATTTTACTTACATAATACTTAATTAAAATTCAACAGTTGATGACCGATGGAAATAAAGTTGTGAAAATTATAGCTTAAATATAGAAGACCTTCCACAACTTCTAGAACTAATACAATGAATACATTCAGTTAGTTAAAACAATGAACACTTCTAACTAACAACTTAGCATCACATTAGATTTGAATAACAGTTAAACTTTTTTTTTAAGACAAAACAGAAACGTAGTTAAAGTGAAAAAGGTCAATTTCGTCAGTCTTCAACTAATCAAATAGTTTATTTATAAGATATGAATATTGTTAAATTGTTGCTTGACCCGTTTGTATTGATGATATTGTACGTGATTTGATTCATTTATTTATGAACATTAGTATAAGGATGCATCACATACATATGCACCACACAATAATAATGAGGCCAATGGCATTTATCATTGATTTGTGTGAGGGCTATAATATTGCCCGGATGCTCAAACTGAAGCATGTGGTTTACTTAGGGCGCCACATCCTGAGTCTTTGACCTACAGGTCTAATCCACAATACAGTGAAGCAATGTCAAGAGATGCAGTCTCATGGTATCCGGTGAGTAACAATAGGTTCATACGTCTTTGTTCCCTTAAGATCCTGGAGCCCATGTAAGCCATTGGTTTGAAATCAGGGTTTTCCAACTCCTCTAGGTGGATCCTCCATATCCGCCAATCGGTTAAGGCGCCGGACATTTGCTTTTCGTTCTCTGAGTTTCGTAAACAACACCCTCTCCGCGAGTGGGCAGTGAGTAGGACTCCCCTGGCAGTGGTTGTATATGCGTGGCCATGTGAGAGCATTTGGAGAGGCTGGGCTGACTCTCCCTACCTTCTGCTGTACCAGGGCATTTGGGAGATATCTTGATTCACTAAGTGGATTACGTTTTGGCATTTGAAGTGAAAGGTACTAGATTTGAGTCCTGGAGTGAACATCAATTATAGAAGCAAAGATGGATAGTGGCAAGCAGATTCTAGTAATGAATACCAAGTGAATTCAAAGTTCACGCGATTGCACAAGCAAGTGGCTATAAGGACCCAGTAGCTAAGGGGATAACGCGAGAGTATTTGAAGCGAATGGTACTGGGTTCAAGTTTCAGAGTGAACACCAACTCTGAGACGCTGGTACGCCCAGCTGACAAGTCGCAAATAAGACGAAACGCATGTCCTGGATTCCACTGCTTGCTTCTATCCACCTTTTGCTCATAAATAGCTTCTTATATACGTACCAATCAAATTCAGACTACATTAATGATTTGATTGATTAATTTTTCCCAATCTATCGGAACATACTATCTAAGCTAAACGAAGTGCAGTTGTCAAATAAATCCGTAAATACTGGTCTTTTTGAAAAGAGCATTAGCTGATTCTATAGTACATGTTTTTTGTATCCTAGATGGTTATACTGATCTACGTATTGTTGATAGATAAGGCTTATTCAGTATAAGGAACTAGTGAAAATCATTGAATTTCATAGTTAACATCGTAAATGGACCTAAGACAGCCAATGGAAACCAGGACGTACTGAATCGATATTTCGTCCTAGTATGGGGTTCCTGGCTTTCTATTAGTTGTCTAACTATGGGCAAACCGTGTGGTGAAGGATGTTCTACTTGGAATTAATTAGTTACTTATTCCATTGTTTTCAGTTGTTTCATGGCATGTTTCTAAGTTTATTATATATTAAATGTATTATACACTAAGTCTAACTAGATAGCAATTGAGAGTTGTAAATATGGATTAGTTTACACGTCAACTCAATGATCTAGATGATTAAAACACTTGCCTTGACATCTGAAAATTTAGGGACGTTTATATTAAGCATCCCATCATCGTATAATGGGACAATCATTGTCGTCTGGTACTTATTGTTTTTTTTCAATGGTTGTTTCATAAGAGTCAGTTCGTGATTTGAATGAAACCTTAAAACCAGAACACCTCATGCCTATAAATGAATTTATGCACAAGCATTCATTTTTTGAGTTATCATTGATAATAAACATTTTCTGTTCAATAATAATAGATGGACGATAGGATTAAATTTTTTCCAAGTTTTATCAAGAAATTAAGTTTTCATTACCCAGTCACATCAGTTTGGATCAATGTCATGTTTGGTTGATTAGTATTAAGTAGTTGGAATCAATCGTAATAAGTTCTATATATATATAGAGTTTAGTGCTGCTCGATTGACGAATTGTCACGATATACTACCTTAAGTCACAAATATTATAACCACAGGTGAATGGTGGCTAACAGTGGAATCCGGGACGCGTGTTTCGTCCTTTTGATCTTAAATTCCAGTATCTTTTCATGCATGTCTTTCCATCTTGTCTTTTCAAACCATGTTCCTAATGTTTATTCTTTATTGTCATTATTATTACTACTACTACTACAGAAGTTGGATCGTTTTTGTTATTCTTATGTTGTCGTACTAATCAGGCATAAGAACTTAGGTCATCTGTGTTAGGCTTCATGCTGATGACATATATCTGTTTGTCCATGAATATAATTAATAAACTAACTACTCATTAAGTTTAGTCTCTATCATCATATCTATGTACTTGTCAATAGTTCCTTTTATTTTGTTCCAACTCGAACTGATGTCCGTACGTACGAAGTTCTACGTTGTTACTGACTGACTGACTGATGTGATCTTTTAAATTTTTTTGGAACAGAATTTGTTGGATATCTTAGATCCTCAAAACTTACTTGATGTATATCTTATTTTTGTAATTTTATTTTGTAATTTCTTGTTTTCGTTCCAATAGGGACTATTTTAACTTTCATATTATATTCCCAATGAGGAGGACCTGAAATATTAGTTCGTTGTTGCTAGTAATATGCTATTTTCTAACGTTTCCCATGAACATTTATATATATATATATATATATATATATATATATATATATGCGTGCGTTGTGCTTGTGGAATACATTTTTCAGAACTTGGACTTCTCTTTCTTATTAGCGGCGATAGAACGCATGGAAGTAGTTAAGTTATTTAATCATTGTATCATTAGTCTTCGTTCCATTCACAGATTTAGGTGACCTCGTATTCTCTTCAAATATAACAGAATGTTTCCTTATATTTTGTAACTACCTCATTTCTAGAAATTACTACTTATTCTAAGGCATATAATACTGAAGTGAACATTTTAATATTTCACTTATTGTTTAATCATCTTTTCCTATGTATCGATGCATTTAACATTCATTCTAATGATTTCGTCTCTGAAGCTTTATTAAGTAGTATATACACATCATAAATATTTGATTGCACTGAAACCATGTTGTCATATCTTCTTTTGTTGTCAATTGAATTTTATGCATGAAATAATTAAAGGTTTATTAAACTTTTTAATTTTAATAACATTCAAACAAAATATTACATTCTAAAGTTAGTTTATATCATAGACTGATATTAACCAGGTAATGAAATCCTATAAGGAGGATCAATTAGTTTATTTCCCTTAAGCTTTCAAGTATGAGAGCGATTATCACTTCCTGGTTGCCCATACGATGGAAAGGTTCTTTTGGAGGTCCCTGAGAAGGAAATTGGATTAAAAGTGGTCTTTGTGACCTGAGAGCGTGACCACAGTGCCCAAGGGACAACTGCTTGAGGTCGATCATACATGGCCTTTTTTGGGGTAATTTTCATGTTAGCTCCGTACTTGTTGAGGCTTTACCACTGGAGACGGATATACATGAGTCGACCTTTTCTAACACCACACCTCGTTATGGGAAGGCAGCATCGCTGTTATGCTGGTTGTCTGAAGGAAAAACCCTACTGCCGTCACACCTCTGTACAGTCAGCAGTACGACTTCGCCCTTAGACCTTGGGTTTACTGCTTTTAGTCTTATCGCTCTTCAAATGACCTATCTGGCCTGGTAGGACCTTGAGGAACGATTATTCCTGCCAGTATATCTCGATTGGTTCATCATGATAGGCAAGGCCAACCACTACGTCAAAGTAGCAACAACGGTTGGATATGCTTTACTGATGAATACCATTTAGCACTAAATCTCGGTTCAGAGTTTTCTTCTGACTACCTTTAGTGATATCATATCACTAAAGATTATCGGATGTTGAAGCCTAAGAACTACACACTTTTATGAAATTTGGATTATGAGATCTGGCGAAAAGCATGATATATCATGGTTGACTTTTTTAACTTTAGCTAATGTATTATAACAGTCAAGTATTCGTATAACAGCAGTGTGTATATAAAATCGTGCGAGAGCTTTCATTCCTTCACGTCACCTCTAAGTGGTTCACACATAAATAAAGTAATAAGTAATGCAGATTCAAATTGTTCGCAAAGCATCAGTTTACTCAATATTATAGCTATGCTTTGGTGATATATACACTAACCAACTAGCTTTAAACCTATTATTTTCAAACCGTTTAATAACAGTCAAAGCTTGTCTCATGTGTACAAGATCCTGGTTACTTTTAATTTACCGAGTAATTTTAAGTATACTTTACAACTACATTTTCTACCTTACACTCACGTTTTGTTCTTTTATCATTTTGAATTATTTAAAAGCGTGTTTTTTTAAATCATTTCAGACTCGAATAACTTCTTCAAATCTCAATAATTCAATCATGTTAAATTTCGATCCGTTAATGAACGTCTCAGAAAGTAAGTCAATGTGAACTTAGTTTATCGCTTTCGTTGAGTACATTTTTAAACAAGAAATGATGTTAGAGTGTTTTCATTCTGTTGCACTGTTACGCTTATGTTCTATTCGGGATTGCCTGTTGTAATGTTAAACCGAGCTACATTAGGTTAAACACATTACAGCTCGATTTAAGAACAATGAGACTAAAAACAGCAAACTAAGACCCAAGTAGTACTGCCGTCTGTGCTGGGGTATGATGGCAGCATATTGTTTCCTTCAGGCAATCAACATGTGCAATGATGTTACGTTTTTAGAATATAGGGAAGGAAGTTGAGAAATCCTGGTCCTAAATATAGATCATTTTATCTTACTTCACACATTTTCACCGTTACTCGTAAGACCTTTTGAAGTAAAACGATAGCACATCAGGATGTACATACTAAAAGCATTTGTGTAACTGGCCTCCAAGAAAGGTTACCCAGTAAAAATAAATTTAATAAGGTAAACTTTATTTCGATATTTTCTCAATCGGGAAATATGTGACATAGCATTCATGCGAGACTATTATTTGTGGATGAGCCAACTAGATTTAAGATATCAAGGCTTGGATTTTTGAGCAAAACTCATTCACATGGCTAAATAGTATTTTAGTATTATAGCTGATGCCAGTTTACGAAGACCCTATCTCTTATTCTTAACCCTGACTTCCAACTCACACTAATTTATAACTTTCTTTAGTCCCTAGTAGGTTGATGAGTTTTCTCAAGGTCACTCGGGGGTCACTCAAGGGTTGTCCATGAATTATAATGTCGCCTAATTTCTGGATGTTGTTCTAAGCTCAGTCAGCAATAAATGCTTGTATACGATCAAGATAAGTTTGTAAAATATATAGTTTCTTAACAAAGTCTGGTATTCATTAATGAGCGGATACACAAATACATATTTACTCATCAACTATACAAAGTCAAGTAATTGTTCCAAAACAACAAAGTAATATTTTTTCAGAATCATTTCAGAAAACAGTTATAAAATGTGATTAACAAAACAAGAGAAATACAAGTGAACATGAGAAAACCTTTACAACTAAATTATAACTGATTCCAATTGTATAAGCCAGTGTCTACCTGGACTCAATAGCTATCTTGATGATGCTTTGGTATTTGAACCGAAGTGCAATAGGTTCTAGTTCCGAAGAGAACAACAACACTGTAATGCAAGTATATCCTGTCTATAAATCCAAAGTATTATGAAACGCCTCTTCTGGATTCGGTCCTTAGCTCCTATCCACCTCTGCTTAAAAAGCCTTATGACTAATGATATTATCGAGTCAGTTCCCATAGGATGCTTATATGCCAGAATAGACTGATCAATTGCAGTGCTTTATATTAACAATGGACAGATTCAAGCCTTTATAATTGAATAAAAATGAATACTACTGAATAAAGTAAATTGTACAAGTTTACAAGAAGAAGAAATAATAAATGGCTAGCATGTTTACATCACCTTATACAACTAAATAAAAGATACCACTATATGGCGAGTGGTTTAGGCAACATATTAGCAATTAATGTAATAAAACATTGATATAAAGTTGTATTTATTGTTTATCACCATAGTCACCAATAATATCTATGTTGTATGTCTCTCTCTCTCTCTCGGTTTTAATCAATTCTACTCTTCCATCTTTATTTATAATGTATAGATAATGCTTCCCCACAGCTTTGTAAATCAATCGATCAACTTTCTGAACAGCTAATGTAAGTTTTATTCAGAACTTTAAACTACGACTTATATATATGCAAATCCATCTACTGAACTTTTAGCCACATTCATATATGGAGAGCGAATTCGATTGTCTGACTGTCGTACTAGGTGATACAGGATCTAAAACTTCAATTGATTAACTGAAAAAAGTAGTGTAACTTCTAGAACACTAAATTCCGTAATTATCCTTTTCCATTACTACAACCAAATCTTTTGAATGTTCGTGTGGATTTTCTTTGGAGTTGTTACTAGTATTCGTCTTAACAATTCGTTTAATATTCATTATTCTCTTACTTGCTCTCATAATGATGGTGTAGTAAATCGTATTTTGAGTTATTATGTTTTGTGAATGATCACTCCTGGAATTGTGATTAATATGTTAAACTTTGGTCCTGTGAAGTCATCATATAATGTAACTCTTCCATGAAGCACAAAATTGTCTCCTCAGCTCCGGGGGGGAGTTATATGCAGTTAGGGAATTTCTAATACTGTCCCTCAACTGCCTAGAACTAAGTAGTTGAGATTTACAGTTGGAATCTGTGAGTCCGCCGTCTGAATGTTAAGTACTGTAACCTTTAAACTACTGTTCTGTATCAATTAACACTTGAGTTTAAGTTCACCACATTTTTTATAATAATAACATTTTAATGTTAATGTGCTTTTCACTACATGTTCAGATGAATTTTATTTTGTCAGCTGAATTTCCTTTTCCATTTCTTAGCACGACAACTCCTGAATCGTCTAATAATAATAGTACAATTAATGCATCATATTATAATCGTACAGGTCATTTAATAAGTCCTATTGGTAATGAAGAATTGATTAACATCGCTACAGCGTCACCTTCAGTGATAACAACAACAACGTCATCGTCAATACCGACAACTGAATCAACCGTGGCATCTCTCTCACCTTATGTTAATATTGATAAGTTTAATTCACCTTGTGATGATGTAATTCAGTGTATTACAACTACAGTTCCTGTTAAAACAACTTGTTCTACAGTTGTTGAATTACCCAGTTCATCTTCTATACTTACGAACAAATCTTCTACAACTGGCGTAGCTATCACAGCAATTGCAAACACTACCACTTTCTATTCACCATGGAGACATCGTAGTGTCCTAAATCAAGCTTTAGGTGGAGGGGATGGTGATGATGATGATGGAGGAGGAAACAGTTCACCGGAATGGTCATCTTTTTCAATACCCAATGACAATAAATTGCACGAAATCAGTATAATACAACAAGGTCAACTCGAATACAATCATGATAACAGTGATAATAATTTGTGCGAGGATTTTTCTAATCATAATAATAAGGAAGAATATGAATCTACTACAAGGAAGATTAAAGAGAATTCTATTCATAAAACAACAAACCATTCAGAGCTAGATCTTCTTGTCAATATGTTAGATCGTGTTGAAATGAAAGATGATACGATGCAAGAAAGTGATAAATCAACAATTGTAACACAAATTGTTCAAGATTGTAATTTGGCTATGAATGAATGTAAGTTTGATTTTGAATTTATCTTGAATCATACATTTGTGTTTATTATGTATCTTTATATGTGTTAAAATAATGTAGTACATAATGGTACACATAATGGTCCCACAATAGGACGAAACGGCCGTCCAGTGCTTCCAGGTTTTCCATGATGGTCTAGTTTCAATTCACTCATGATCTCAATTGTTGAAATTACTACAATCTCCACAAAACCCCTTATAATACATAACTGCTAGATTTCAATTATTATAGTTTTATCACTTAGTAACATCATTTTAATAAGTATTGGAGAGTTGAAAGCACTGAACAGATATTTTGTCATGATATTTGACAACATAGAGGTGAACATTAGTTTTTATTTATTTATTTAAACACATAAACATTGGTACAAGAAGGCACCAAATAGATATGCGCCACATAAATCATTCGATTGGTGTTAGGGCTGTAATACTGCCCGGTTGCCCAAACCGAAGTAGGTGGTTTTCTTAGGTGGCCATACCCCAAGCGTTTGACCTAAAGGTCTGATCCACAAGGTAGGACGTAAGAAGGACGCTGCAAGGAAACCTCTTAGGGCCCTACTTAATGATAGTCAAGCTAAGTATATATTTCAGGAACAACTAGAAAAAACAGTTAGGCAGCCATGTATGTGTTGCCCACCCCGAGGCAGCATGGAATGATATCCGAAAAGCTATGGAAACAGCAGTGATATCTGCTAGTACGGTAAACCACAAGGTTAAGGAGAAACATTGGATCTCAGCAGCATCTACCGCACTGATAGATGCTCGGAAACTCATTCCGTCTGGCTCTGAACATAACGAAGAGCGGAGTCAGCTTAGGCGCAAGCTGACAAGACGCCTACGCCATGATCGCGAACAGTGGTGAGTAGCGAAAGCAAGAGAGATGGAAAAGACAACGGCAATAGGTAATAGCAGACAATTGTTCAGACTTGTTAAGGAAGCCGATATTAGGAACCCGACCGTTAGCGAAACAATCTCAGAGAAAGATGGACATATTATACATTCTCAATCCAGGAGATTGGATCGATGGGCAGAACACTTTAGGGATCAGTTCAAGTGGCCTTCAGTCACGCTTCGGTTTCTTACGATCTCCAGTCAACCTGAATGGCAAGTTAATGTAGGCCGTCCGACTCTTTATGAAGTTGAAAGAGCTATAGGAAATCTGAAGCGAGGGAGAGCAGCAGGTCCTGACAGGTTTACTCCTGAGATTTTTAAGGATGGTAGTCCAGTATTGGCAGTGAGATTAGCTGAGGTCTTAGGTAGAATTCGGGAAATGGACGTAATCCCATATGACTGGTCTCAATCACTGGTTGCGCCAGTCTGTAAGGACAAAAGTCCTCTTGCGACAATCACAGAGGAATCAGTTTGACAAATATAGTGTCTAAAATATTAGCTTCAATAGTACTTCGACGCCTAACCAAAGCTTGTGAAGAACAGACTAGAGAAAATCAGGCCGATTTTCGACCTGGACGTGGTTGTATAGACCAGATATTCACACTACGTCAGGTTCTAGAACACAGACACACATTCAGACGCCCCACAATAGTAGTATTTCTCGACCTTAAGGCGGCATTCGACTCTGTTGATCGTGAGGTTCTATGGCAGTGTTTGTCACTGAAAGGAGTACCAAAGAAGTACATTAACCTTATAAAATCTCTCTACTCGAACACAACTGGTCGAGTGAGAGCTTATGGCAAACTGTCATCAGAATTGATTACCTCAAGTGGTGTTCGTCGGGACTGTCCACTTTCTCCATTCTTGTTTAAGTTTGTCGTTGATGTGCTTTAGAGATGACTCTTTCCTCATTTAAATTTCCGGGGGTTGAACTTCTACCAGGAGATTCACTTGTTGACTTGGCATATGCCTATGACATAGTTCTATTTGGTGAAGACGCTGAGAAAATGCAGCGTCTTCTGACCACTCTAAGCAACAATGCTAGCATGTTCGGGATGCGATTCTCGCCCTCGAAATGCAAAATATTGTTTCAGGATTTGGTTTCATCGACACCCGAACTAATGATAGGGAGTGAAGTAATTGAACGTGTCGATCGCTTCATTTATCTTGGAAGTCTCATCAGCCCTTGTTTTCTGGTGTGTGACGAAATCTCAGCACGGATACAGAAGACTCAATTAGTTTTTGCCGAGTTGCTTCATTTATGGCGTAGACGAGATATCCGTCTACCAAGCAAATGACGTGTTTACTGCGCAGCAGTTCGTTCCGTCCTACTTTATGGTAGTGAAACGTGGCCGGTAAGAGTAGAGGATATTCGTAGGTTACTAGTATTCGATGATAGATGTCTTCGAAACATTGCTCGTATATCCAGCATTCACTTTGTGTTCCCCCAAACTCTAATCTTCTAAATTCTTCATATCCCTTTTCTTCTACTTCCAAATTTATTTCACTGGATTATACTCTTTGCATAACATCTTGAAACCCTAATCTTTCTGATGACTATCTATACTCTTACTACCTCTACCACTATGGGATTTCAATCGACAATTGTATCTCTGTTCTAATGTGGTATGGCAACTCGAACTGATGTACGTTACTACGAAGTTCTACGTTGTTACTGACTGACTGATGTGATCTTTTAAATTTTTTTGGAACAGAATTTGTTGGATATGTTAGATCCTTAGAACTCACCTGATATATATCTTATTTTTGTAATTTTATTTTGAGATTTCACTTTCATATTATATTTCCCAGTGAGAAGGACCTGAAATATTATCAGTTCCTTGTCGCTAGTAATATACTATTTTGTAACGTTTCCCAAGGACATTTTTATGCTATATATATATACGTTTGGGTTGTTTTGTGGAATACATTATCCCTATTCAGAACTCGGTCCTCTCTTTCTCATTAGCGGGGATGGAACGCATGGAAGTAGTTAAGTTATTTAATCATTGTATCATTAAGTCTTCGTTCCATTCACAGATATAGGTGACCTCGTATTCTCTTCAAATATAACAGAATTTTTCCTTATATTTTGTAACTACCTCATTTCTAGACTAATTACTACTTATTCTAAAGCATATAATACTGAAGTGAACATTTTAATATTTCACTTATTGTTTAATCATCTTTTCCTATGTAATCGATGCATTTAACATTCATTCGTAGGTTGCTAGTATTTGATCATAGGTGTCTTCGAAATATTGCTCGTATATCCTGGGACCATCGAGTAAGTAATGTAGTTGTTAGGAAACGGGTACTAGATAAGGATGGCAAATCAATTGATGAAGTAGTAAAACTTCATCAGTTAAGATGGCTGGGACACGTGTTACGTATACCCAACCACCGACTGCCTCGACGTGCGATGCTCAGTGGTATAGGAGTAGGTTGGAAGAAAGATAGGGGCGGCCATACCAAAACACGGCACAAATTCATGAGGTCACTGACAAGTGGACTAAGCCATGTTGGTAGGTGTAGTCTACCTGGTTGGGGACCGCGAGATGATAGCAACCGATGGTTAGAGACTCTGAATGACATGGCTCAAAATCGTTTGCAATGGCGCAGGTGCATCCACTCTTTGTGTTTTCCCAAATTCTAATCTCCTGAATTCTTAATGTCCTTTATTTTCTTTCCAAATTTATTTCACTGGAATAGGGTACTTGAATAACATCTTCAAACCCTAATTTTTCCGATTACTGATTATACTTGTACTACTTCTACCACTAGGGGATTTGAATGGACAACTGCATCTCTGTAGTAATATGGTATGGTAACTTGAACTGATGTACGTACGTACGAAGTTCTACGTTGTTACTGACTGACTCACTGTTTATGAGAATTCTGGTTGCCTAATAACCCTCATTTAGTCCTAGTCAGTAGGTGTCGATTCTCTAGGTCAATTCCGTGTCGCTCAATGGTCGTCTGTAAATAATAATCTTAGCGATTCTTCGTTTCCACCAACACGGTTAAAGCGCCGGACATTCGCTTTTCGTCCTCTCAATTTCGTAAACAACACCTTCGCCGCGAGGAGGCGGTGGGTAGGACGTGCCTGACAGTGGTTGTAAGTAATCATTTACGACCTTATCATTTACGAAACTCATTATCTTATGATTTTCAGAAAGCCTCAAATGTTTATTATACAACTTGATTGTTATGCTATGAACCTCATAGCTTCATTTATTTTCTCAATATAAACAGTTTAATATCAGAAGGGCTTTTGTGTATATTATAGTAATTTTAATAGTTGAGATCATGTGTCAATTGAAGGTAGAACACTGTGAAAAACGTGGAAGCACTGGGTCTGTTATGAGATAGTAACTCACTGAAGTTAGATATTATCACCGTTAGATGCCGGCCAACTCAGTGGTTAAGCGCTCGCGCGAGAGAGTGAGAGGTCTTGGGTTCGAATCTCGCGAGGCGGGATCGTGGATTTGCCCTACTGAAGAGTTCCACAATAGGACGAGACGGCCGTCCATTGTTTCCACGTTTTCCAAGGTGGTCTAGTTTCAATTGACTCATGATCTCAACTACTGAAATAATGAGTTCAGGTCATAATTATCTTCACTTAATTACAGCAATAAGTTGTTTATTCTTTATTATTATTATTATTACAAATAAACTGTACATCTACCATATGGTTTATATTGGTTTGACTTAATTAAATAAAATGTCGTTCTAACATTTTTCTATGTAACTTATTTTTAACAAAACATCATTGTTTACAATAAATAGCTGTATGTGTTTGTTGTTGTTGTTGTTGTTGTTCAATTAGAAGAGTTATGTTTCTGGTTGTAAAACAAAAAAATTATCGGGTCATATAGACGGTCGTTAGAAACAAAAAAGAATAAAAAACTTTCTATAATTATGTATCTATGGAATTTCTATTAAACATAGAAAGAACAAAACCAAAATGCATTTTGATAATGGTATGATTTATTGTAAAGTAATAAGTCAGTCAGTCAGCTACAACATGGGACCAGGCACATATATGCATCGGTTCAAGTTGCCATACCTCATTAACACAACAAGATAAACACCGGATTCATATAAAAGTAATTAATTCAGAGGTGGTAATATATAAAAGATAGGCAAGCCCTACCACCACGTCAAGGTAGCAACAACGGTCGGGATAAAGTAATAAGTCTATCTACCTGATTTATTAAATTACTATTTTCTACATGTAATTACATCCCTATGATGATAAAGTGCTTGTTTACTTGCGCCTGTTACTCCCAGCATTCTCCAACCTATTCTGTCCTGGACCTTCCTTTCCAGTTCTATCCAGTTTTTGTTCATCTTTCTCATGACTATTTCCATTTCCCGGCGTAATATGCTCTTTGGTCTTCCTCTTTTCCTTTGACCTTGAGGATTTCATGTGAAGGCTTGTCTTGTGACGCAGTTGGATGCTTTCCTCAATGTATGTCCTATTCACTTCCAGCACTTCTTCCTGATTTCTTCCCCCGCTAGAATCTGGTTTGTTCTCTCCCAGAAAATGAAAACATTCAAAAGAAATGCAATTGATTTATTTTTTTTAAAAGAACTCATGATTTGTAGAGGTAGTACACTAAAACCTAAGCAGGAACTATTGTTCTCTTCTACAATAGGTTGTTGTTGATAGTGTCTGGTCAACGGATCCGAAGTATTTTGCATAGACAACTGTTAATAAACACTTATATCTTCTGGATGTGATAGCTTCACATCTGCATCAGATCCACTGTGTTCATCAATGATGCTTTCCAGATATGTAAAGGTTTATACATCTTTCAATGCTTCTCTGTCAAGTGTGATTCGATTGTTGCATGCTGTGTTGTTTCGGAGAATCTTGCATTTCCCTTTGTGTCTGCCGACACCTACTACTGATCATCTTCTCTTGCATTTGTTGTTAAATGTGCGGTAGAAGTCTAGATCGTTCAATTGTATCCTAGCTGTCCACTATATCCCATGCTCCCTCCCAGATGTTGACGTCTACATAATCCAGTCGATCTCCAGGAGATAGAGGAAGCTTGAGAGTAAGCAGCGTTGCCTGACACTGGTCTTTTCTTCGAAGGAATCTGTGAGCTGTCCTTCATGCACAATTTTGTAGTTTAATCCATCATAGGAATTCCGTATGATATTTTTATATTTCCAGAATATAACTTTTAATGTTTCATACAGTCAGTTATGAGTTTCATTTTAACAGAATCTCAAATCCATAAACATACTACTATTTAGTAATATTTATCAATTATTCAATTTTTAATTTATTTCAGATAAAACTCCAGAAATTCAATCTTCTAAATCTGTTACTCCATCTTTAACATTTAATATAAGAAAATCTGAAAATCTATTAAACAATAAGAAATTAGTTGATACACCAAAAACATCAAATTTAACATCAACACCATTTCTTTTTAATAAGTCAATATGTATACCGGAAGAATTTCAACAAATGAATGTCTTAGATGTTCTTCCATACAATACACCTGATCAATGTATTGTCAATCATAATACAGATATGAATACTACACCATATACTAAAGACACTGGTGGTATATCTGGATTTTTATCAAAAGCTGCAAGATCTGTTTATTCACGTCTTATATCATCTGGTTCATCACAGTTAGCATTGAAAGATACTTCATTAGTAAATAAACCACAGAGTATTATTGATTCATCATTCATTGAATCATGTTCTGTAGGTAATAAAGTTGAATCAATTAAAAAGGAATTCAGCATTGAACAAGAGAAACATCAACAACAATCTTGCTTAAATATAACATCATCATTTGTTCAGTCTGAACAAATCTCTCAACAATTATTAGATGATGAAGAGGCATGGAAAACAGTCAGTTCCGTACATGATCTAAATGGTTCAATGGAGATATCTAGTAAAATGGAGATAACTGGTAGCTGTACTGATGGTGATGGTGCAATGTTGTTAGGAAATAAAGAAAATGCAGAATGTTTACAAGTCCATAAGGTAGTTCACCTACTGAATTGTTTTTTTTTTGGTGAGACTATAATTTATGGACGACCTTTGACGAGCGCTAAAATGACCTTAGAAGTATCTAACTCCTTACTGGGGCTAAATGAGGGTTATAAAGCAGTTTAAAGAATAAGGATTATGATTTACGGTTGATGGTTAGGATTAAGAATTCGATTTAGGGTTTTCATCACGAACTGACATCAGCTATAATGTCAAGTCTCTATTTAGGCAAATGGGTGAATGAACTTCGCGCCAAAATCTGATTGGTTCGTCCATCCTAAATTATAGTCTCGCCGTTTTTTTTAAAATTTCTAAGAGCATTTTAATGGAACAATTGTGTGTAACAATAATAATAATCGTATTAATCAGTACTGCATATTTGATCAAAATTATAAGTGGTTTAAGCTGCCTTATCATGAATCACAATGAGGTTTTAGATCAGTTCTGATTTTACAAATGTTTCTTATTGCATTAAATGTGAGCTAGTTTGAGGTATTGGAGAAAATTCCCAACCAAATATACCATCTTAATGGAATGGTAACAAAAAAGTACCCTACGTGATCGGCTTCAAACAGTTATCATTACAGTTCTATAGTTATGTACTTAAGTCTTGAAGATCATTCTTAACTTAGTTTCCCTTTCAGGTTGCTTTAAATGAAATATCTCCTTGTTGTATGGACAGTTGAAAAGTAGCAACTACCTCCATATGTTTATCAGAAATTAGAACGAATAGTATAAAAATCATCTATATAACACATTACATTATAATGAAAACTAGTTTCCTGTCAAACAATAAATAATGTGGAACATATACATATTACACATTTTCATTTAGCTCCACGTCATCAAATCACCATAGATGCGTTAAGTGTGTGTGTGTGTGTGATCACATACAAGATTAATGTATGCATAATGCATTAATTCAAATGAACGCATCATGAAAAAAGTACTGCAATGTTTACACAGTTAAGAAGAACAGATAATTGTAATGATGATTTCTGCAAGCCAACATTATTGATCCATTTGATGCTTGTTTTTGAAATTCTGGTGAAAGGGGAATTTTTGTACAAACTTCTGTTCTAATTCTGTTTGATTTACATAACGGCAACAGGACCTGCTAGTGTTTTTTTTTTAGCAAGGTTGTTTCCTTTTTTGGGGGATGAGATTGTTGATCCAATGTCCAACTCTTCTTGTTTACTCGGGATTAGGACCAGCAGTAACTCTCGGAGAGCTTCGGGTGGAGAAGCTCTAGAAGAGGTAGAAACTTCCACTTACCTAGGGAGCATTATCGATAAACAAGGAGAATCTCATACAGACCTAAATGCAAGGATTGGCAAAACAAATGCGACATTCCTAAAGTTAAAGAACATAGGGAACTCGAAACAACTATCGGCCAGCATCAAAGTTAGAATCTTCAATACGGATATGAAGACAGTTCTACTGTGAAGAGCTGAAACCTCGAGAACTACCACAGCGATAATCTGAATTACATATATCTATTAATCAGTTGTCTACTCAAGATACTCGATGTCCGTTGGCCGGATATCATCAGTAATAGCCCATTGTGGAAGAGAAAAAACCAGCCTCCAGATGAAGAGGAAATTAGAAAATGATGTTGGAAGTGGATAGGACATACATTGTGGAAATCATCAAACTGAATCACAAAACAATCGTTAACTTGGAATCCTGAAAGGAAACGGAATAGAGGAAGACCAAGGAAAACATTGCGTCGGAAATTAGAGGTAGACATTAAAAGAATGAATAGCATTTGGAAAAAATTGGAAAGGATTGCTCAGGGCAGAGTTGAATGAAGAATGTTGTTAGGCGGCCTATGCTCTTCCACGAGTGGTAACAGGCGTAAGTAAGTAGGTGAACCTGTTGAAATGATGTGGAATTTTTGTAACTCAGAATAAGGATTTTGAGGGTCGTGAGCATCTACGTTTAATAGCCCACTTATTTCTGAAGTATGTGCTCCTAATGTTTTCCACAAAGAGTGCAAACTTCGGGAATAGGCCATGCTCCAGCTTAGAGAAGAACACACCTTCGAAAACAGCACCTGTGTCTACACTTCTGCTTGATTATTATATCTTGCCTCTTTCTATATTTTCAGTGAATTGATGTTTCAAATGTCAAGAAGAACTTTTCTTATGAACAGTTTGATGGACAAGGCAATAACTGTTTCTCTTTAATCCTTCGATTGCATTACATAAATTTTCATGTCATAACATGAATCGTCAACTGAATCTAGGAGTATCATCCATTTAGGATTATCACTCTCTCTTTCTCTCAACTGACGATATTCAGAAGTCCCAATTGTCAAGCTGCCGAGGATGTTGTTTAGATATATACAGAGAGTTAGAAAGTACTAAACTCCCCCTCTCGAAATGCTCTCACATGGCCACGCGTGTACAACCACTACCAGGGAATTTCTACCCATTGTCTTCTCGCAGCGAAGGTATTGTTTACGAAATTGAGAGGACGAAAAGCGAATGTCCGGCGCTTTAACCGGGTTGTTGGACACGGAGAGTTGCTGAGACTATAATTTACAGGCGACCTTTGAGTGACACGGAAGTGATCTCGAGAATCGACACCTACTGACTAGGACTAAATGAGGTTAATAAAGCAGTCAGTTTATGGTTACCGTTAAAATTAGATTTAGGGTTTTCATCACGAGCTGACATCAACTATAATGTCAAAACATTGTTTGGCCAAATGAATTAATTAATTTCGCTGTAAAATTCAAGACCTGTTGTCGTAAATGTGATTGGTTCATCCATCCTAAATAGAATCCACTTAGGGGAGTTGGAAAACTTTGATTCCAAACCAATGGTGCATATGGATTCCAAGATCCTGAGGGAACAAATTATTACTCACTGGCTACCATGAGACTGCATCTCCTGACGTTGTTCCATTGCATTGTAGATTATACCATTAGGCAGAAGGCTCCGGTTGTGGCCCTCTAAGTAAACCACCTACTTCTGTTTGAGTACTCGTGCAGTATCACAGCCCACACACAAATCAAGTGACTTGTGTGGTGCATATGTATTCGGTGCCTCCTTGTACCAATGTTTATATATTCAAATAAATAAAACTTCAAATGATTATGCCTTTCACTAACTACTTCTCAGTGTTGTACAGTTGATAAATGTATAAAAATTATTGTATGATACGGCATGCAAACAAATAAACCGTTGTAATTGAATTAATCTATCCCAGATGTCATAAACTTAACGAAGGTAATGACTGAAATAATAAGCTAATTAATTTACTTATGATGAATTGATTATTATGAATGACTGAGTCGTCTGTAAAGTCATAATCTTCCTTTTTGTGTAGACTAATCTAAAGTAGTATTACTAACACATCAAATTCACTAGCGATATCATTTTAAATAATGGATATCAATGAGAATTCAGTATTTATTTCGTCCTGTTCAGGATTTGTTAGCGAAATGTAATGTACTTATCTATGGTTGTTGATGTTCACAATAAGACTCAAATTCAAGATTCAGTACGTTTAGCATTGGATAGTGTTTAACATTGTTCTAACTAAGTAACCTTTCCAAACTTCGGAAAAAGTAAACTCATCTAACCATTATATTTATGTGGATGTTTATGTAACAGAGGGAATGTTCTTTTCATCATCATAAACTAGTATCATCAGTTCGTGAACTATTATGTATTAAAAAGCGTTTAACATGTTTCATATCTATGTACATAGCTTAATGTGGATCACAGTGGTGCAGTTCCATTTACTCTGTATTTTTCTTCATATCTTTTCAAAGCATATTCTTATTGTTTAGTCTCTCTCATTATGATTCAAACTACTATTTCTTTGATTCTTTTACTATGCACCTTTACAATTGTCATCTCTCCATTCGAATATGATATTGTGACGTTTATTATGACTGATATAATTATATATACAACTCTCTAGTCAAATGAATTGAAAGGTTATTGATTGAGATCTTGAACCCATTGATGTTTGACAACCATTGAAAACCTGGAAGCACTGGACTGCCGTTTCGTCCTATTGTGGAACTCCTCAGTAGTGCGCGTCCATGATCCCACCCACAGGATTTAAACCTAAGGTCTCCAGTCTCGCGCGCGAACGCTTAACTTACTAGACTACCAGGACGAAAGAACTGTCCAGTGCTCCCAGGTTTTCAATGGTTCTCTAATATCAATCAATAACTTAATAATCTCCACAATCCCCTATACTGATAAAAGATTATTATTTTTCTTAATAATTTGGTTTTGTCTTATCAATATTTCTTCAGATTATACATGAAGATATTGATGATGTGAGCATGAAAAGTGAAAATAATTCATCAACATCAAATATATCCCGATCACCATTAAAAGAACTACTTAATAATATAAAAGATGTGAATACAACTGATAACAATATTACTACAAATGATTTTGATCATAATAATCAATCATGTCATGAACATAATGGAACTACTAGTACTACTACTACTACTACTACTACTACCACTACTGTTCCTTCGATCTCTTCTTCATCACCTACGAAATCTGTATTATCCATTTCGATTAATGATAATAATAGTGTAATTGAGAATCTTGAAAACATTGAAATAACGAAACAAAACTTACGTGATGAAATTACTAAGTTAAAAAATGAAGCGGATTTATGGAAGTACGTTCATTTCATGCATTTTTTAAATTTTTTTTTGCAAATTGAAAGTATTACTGTGGTGTGTGCCACTCATGTCACATGTTTGATCTCGCACATTGTACGAGCATTCCATGTATCAAAATTAATAATTGGTCTGGTTGTCAGAAAAGGGCATTAGCCTCATGACTTCCGACGGAACTCGTATTTCACCATGAGACGTCATAACTGTTGTAAATGAAGACATTCTAACTCTTAGGGCAGATTTTAAATGGTTTGAATAATTTTTTTCTGGTTGGCGTTTTCCAGTGAATTTTCTACGGAATGGGGTCGCCAACCCCATGCTCAACCCTCCTTTATCTGGGATTGGGACCAGCAGGAGCCCCAGATGGGCTCCAGGTGGAGATGATCTGGTTTTTCTATCGCACATGCAACAACAAATGCAGGAGAAGACGACCAGTGTAGCAGCAGCCTCAGCAGGAGTAGGTCTCAACATACACAAAGGGAAAAGCAAGATTCTCCGATACACACACACAGCATGTTCATAAATCAACAGGCTGTCCATTTAAGAAATACTGAAAGTTCCCAGCTGATGCATTAGATCGCTGTAATACATGTACTACCTAAACAATTACTGAACTAGTATACTGAAAACTTTCTTCTATCACATGTTTTTTCTGTACATCTAATGTTACTATTTATATCAAATTGATCATGTCTGTAAACTGGCGTGAATTCTGTAATTATTATTATGTATCAATCGAATCACACTTGACGGAGAAGATTTGGAAAATGTAAAAACCTTTACATATCTGGACAGCATCATTGATGAACACGGTGGATCTGGTGCAGGTGTGAAGGTGCGGATCGCCAAAACAAGAGCAACATATCTACAACTGAACAACATTTGGAACTCAAAACAACTATCTGCCAACCAACACCAAGGTCAGAATTTCCGATCCAAATATCAAGACAGTTCTACTGTATGGGGCGGAAACTTGGAGAACTACGAAAGCCATCATCCAGAATATACAAGTGTTTATTTACAGTTGTCTACGCAAAGTACTTCGGATCCGTTAGCCAGACACTATCAGCAACAACCTACTGTAGGAGAGAACAATAGTTGCTGCTTAGGTTTTAGTGTACTACCTTTACATATCGGACGTTCTTTAAAAAAATAAATCACTTGCATCTCTTCTGAATGTTTTCATTTTAATGGAAGTTAATTGAATTAGTTTAACAAAAAGAGTAACTTGAAAGAAAGCCCTGCCCAAATTTTCCATGCCAATTATAAATTAGTTATTAGCTGTGTTATTACACTTCCAGAATGAATATTTGCTAGATTGATTGACGGTTGTTGATCCGTTGTTAAAGTTCTCTATCATATGTTCGAATCCTATCTTACCTACTTATTCAGTTTGAAAAATCCCTTCCCCTTCCAGTCAAACAAGTTGGTGAAGCCTAGTAGACCATTCTTGAGAGAAACAGGCGACATCGAAGCACGGTACAATTACCGAAGCTAGAATAGCTGTTTTTACAACCAGTTGAAGTTTGCCCGTGGGGAGCAACCCCGTACATTAAATGCACCCCTTTTCTTGAATTTCTTGTCGTTTATTCATCCAAGAGTAATTGTGCTGTGTTTCCTTGTGAATTTCGTAATCGGTTTGAGGATATCATTCGAGTGAGCGGTTAGCCCGATCTCTACCACCGGGGTTATCGTCTCACTATCCAGGAGGCACGACGAGGACGTGTGAGTCGGATTTTGCCTCCCTTGAACAATTGACCGAGTATCATTACCATAAAATCATATGACATATATTAACACTTACAAAAATACAGGGTCCTTTCTATGTGGCATCTTTAATCTCTACTGTAAGCTTAGATCATTTCATTTCGTTCTGAAACTTTGGCTTACCAAAAAAAACTGATTAGGCTTACAGTTATTTCATTCTAATACATTGACGATTTCCTTCGAAGTCAAATGATTGGCAACACTTAATATTTAATGTATATTATTTCAAAGCTTTATCGTCACGTTTTACTTGTTATCGTTGACGTTATGTTAAATTCAGTACAGATAATTATCATATTTTGGAATAATACAATAAAGTGAAGAAAAATTGTATTCAGTAAGTATACATTTTCAATGTAAGATGGTAGTTGGTAAGAAATATCTGACCCTAACAGCAAGGTTTACCTGTGTTCTTTAGGGAACTGATACTCCCCGGCAGACCCTATGATGCGTTACGTAGCTTCACAGTCATAGACCTTACCCCACCTATTACCCCATTACTATCACTACAAAAGCTACCCAAATACATGCGATTTCCGATTACTTTCAATGACTCATTTCTAAAAGTAAGTCTAGACACGGGCTGCTGTCGGTCTTGTAAGAGTACTTTGCATTTAGAAGTAGGTGTTATGTGCAATAATTACGATCACTGATTGCCAGTTTATTAAGTGAAGATTGCAAGGCTTCAGTGTCACCGCACAATAAGACAATATCATCCGTATATTCAAGGTTGAATAGTCTTTTTCCAGGTAACAGATCCACATCATCAATACCTACCTCCATTGGATCTGTTTATAGTACATCATTGACGGTAGTAATGAGCCATTATTGGTGGGGTCCAACTGTACCAAGTGTGAAGCAGTTATCCACCGAAGATAATCGAAAATGGTTGCGAAACATTGTAGATTGATTGAAGTTAGACATTAACGCCGTTGTAACCTGGCTCAATGGTCTAGAGGTCAATCGTTTTCGCGAAATCGAATGTTTTGGGTTTGGATTCCGCCTGCAAGATCGTGGAAGCGCATCGCTGAAGAGTCCCATAGTAGCGTGAAACGACCTGGTTTTCCATGATGGCCTAACACTGATCAATTCAAAGAGATTTTTGTGTTGACTTGTCACGAATACGGCGAAATGTTTTTCCTCAATTCCATAGCTTGGTACATTCTGTCTGTTTATTTCACATTGTTCTAATTCATGCTTACTATCGTTCAGTTTTCAGTAGCTGAATTGTATTATTATATTGGATTTTCAATCATTTAGCTGTTAGATAATATCGATAACGTTTAAAAACAAAGTCAAGTGCCTCAATCTGTATTTGATAAGCGTTTATTTACATGTGATAAACACTCCATCTTCAACAGAGATAGCCGAATTCATCATAAATTTCTTCTGAAATACTGATTCTTTTTTCACATGTTTACAATTTATCAGAAACAGATCTTTGTTAGTAGTATATTTTATTGATTGATTCCTTAATTCAGATCGGTACTTAAAGATTATCAATCTACTTATATCAAAGCTGAAACAATCATATCAGAATGTCAATTAGTAGAAACTACAAAACTTATACATTTAATTGAAGAACGTAATGAAACAATGGATCAAGCGAAACGAATGCTTGCTGTATATAAAGATATGATGCATCGTGTTGAACGTGCACAAAATGTATTACAATTTGCAAAGAAGGTTAGTTATAATGAATGTTAATATCCTGGTAGAAACGACCATTGGTCTTGTTTTCCATACTACAAATGGGCTCCAGCATTCTGAAGGAAACAAATGGCATATGAACCAGTTATTGGTCATCAGCTACCATGGGATCGCATATCCTTACGTTGTTCCACTGCCTCGTGGATCAGACCTTTAGGTCGAAGGATCCGGGTGTAGCCCCCCCTAAGAAAACCACCTACTTCGATTTGGGCACCCAGGCAGTATCCTAACCCTCACACAAATCGAATGATTTTGTGTGGGGTATATCTGTTTGATGCCTTCTTGTACCAATGTTTATGTGTTTAAATGAATAAATACTTGATCTTATTCTAATAACTCAACAAGGACGTCGTTTGCGATTAATGGTAAGTTCAGACAAGGTTACATATAACTACAAAGTGGGCAGAGCATTTCGTATCCTTGTGGCTACGCAGTATATGTGAAACAGGTTGTAGGCATGGTATTGTATCACAGATGAATCCATGAGTTGTATATTACTTCAGTTCAGTTTTGACATGAAGATTTGTCTGTGTATTTATATACTTTTTACTCTGACGTATGTAGGTTGTGGCAGATCTTCACAAGATTTAGATAATCTGACAATGATCACCATATTTAGTAATTTCACTACGTGAATAGAGTTTTTCATCAATCATTTACAGTATACCATCTAATTAAACCTGTGTGTAATGAATGTTAGATATGATTGGCTTCTGAACATTTATTGTATAATTTTCTTATTATTATTGATTTGTACTGTGGAATAGATGAGTATAGACTGATTGTTTTCTACTTTTTGGTCATGAATCGTGATCCAAGCCTGTGTATAGCACATCGATCGAATATCCAATCTAGTAGTAGGATAAATCTTGATCCCTTGTCCTATTATCGTACTATAATAGGATACTGTAGAAAGCAGGAAATAACTTCATCCACCTATTATATCATAACTATACAGTTACTTCAACGTATTCTTATGAAGAAACTAGCAGCAGTAACACAATGTTTTTCAACAATAACGCAAGTTGAACGAAGAAATATTTCTTTCCAGTTAGTTCGTCAGCAAGGTATTACACGAATAATATAAAACAATGTTTCCTTTAAAATAGTAATCAGTTAAACATCTCAACAGATGTAAAATTAAGCTTAAAGATAAAAATGTCTTACGTAATGAATTATTATAAATGACTTATTAGATAATCTTAATTAACAAGTTGTGATTACCAATATTATGTTCTGGTATTCATTTCACAATGTCATAAATGTGTAAAAAATTATTATTACATATGCGCCACACAAGTCACTTATGTGTGGGCTAACATACTACACGGAGCATTCAACCTAAAGGTCTGATCCACAAGACAGTGGAGCGACGTTAGGAGATGCAATCCTATAGTAGCCGGTCACAAACGATTGGTTTATACGCCATTTGTTCCTTCGTGATGTCAGTCTTGCTGTAAAAGGTCGGATCTACAACGCGTCAGTGAGAGCAGTTTTGCTCTATGCTTGTGAAACCTAACCACTCCGAGTTGAGGACGTTAGACGACTCTCTGTGTTCGATCATCGCTGTCTCCGAAGGATTGCTGACATCCAGTGGCAACACCATGTCAGTAATGCAGAGGTTCGGCATCGTGTGTTCGGGCACAGAGATGATAATGCAATTGGTGTCACCATCTTGAAACATCGACTTCGGTGGCTTGGACATGTTCTACGAATGTCGTCCCAGAGAATTCCACCTCGTGCATTATTTGCCGACTCTGGGACTGGTTGGAAGAAGCGGAGAGGTGGTCAGTATATGACATGGTGTCGTGGCATGAAAGAAAGCTGCAAAGGACTGGCTTCTGTTGGTCCTTCACGACTCCCTGGCTGGGGTCCGAGAGATGGTGCTACACAGTGGCTAGAGACGTTATCAGATATGGCTTATAATAGAAGCCAGCGGCTTCATAAAAAGTGGTTCTACCTTTCCGTTTCCCCCATTATTATCATTGTTATTTGAGTATCATACATGAATCTACGGTCGTTATCGTTCTCTCTCTTTTTTTCTTATACGCACCTTACTATCTTTTTTTTCCCATTCTCGTTGTTTTGTGTGGCGAATATATATCTGGTGCCCTCATGTACCAATATTTATGTGTTCAAATAAATAAGTCGGGATACGAGAACCCATATGTACCATTGGTTTGGAATCAGAGTTTTCCAACTCCTTTAGATGAATCCTCTATACCTACGAACCCGTTTAAAGCGTCATACTTTCGCTTTTCATCTCAATTTCATAAACAACATCCTTTTAGTGAGAAGTCAGTGATTATTATTTATTTATTTGGACACATGAATATTGGTACAGGAGAGCGCCAATATATATGCGCCGCACAAAACAATGAAAATTCGAGAGGAATACAAAGAAAGAAAGAAAAAAGCTAAGGAGCGCAACAAAAAAAAGAGAACAATAACGAAGAGATTGGTGTAAGGTAATGTGCTAGTAATCAGGGAACGCAAAGGTACAATCGGAAGAAATCTTTCAGGTAAGGGAGACAGAACCACTTTTTATGAAGAAAGTAAAAGAACGTTACAGCAGGATCGCCACTGGCTTCTATTCTGAGCCATATCTGATAACGTCTCTAGCCACTGTGTAGCACCATCTCTCAGACCCCAACCAGGGAGTCGTGAAGGACCAACAAAAGCCAGTCCTTTGCAGCTTTCTTTCATGCCACGACACCATGTCATATACTGACCACCTCTCCGCTTCTTCCAACCAGTCCCAGAGTCGGCAAATAATGCACGAGGTGGAATTCTCTGGGACGACATTCGTAGAACATGTCCAAGCCACCGAAGTCGATGTTTCAAGATGGTGACACCAATTGCATTATCATCTCTGTGCCCGAACACACGATGCCGAACCTCTGCATTACTGACATGGTGTTGCCACTGAATGTCAGCAATCCTTCGGAGACAGCGATGATCGAACACAGAGAGTCGTCTAACGTCCTCAACTCGGAGTCAGTGATTAAGATTTCCCTGTCAGTGATTGTATACTTGTTGTCATATAAGAGCATTTTCAACATTGAAAGCAAACTTTCTTTACCCGTCATCTGTTAGTTTCAATTATGTTTTATTATGTAATTTGTTTTTTTTTATTTCTTCTTTTAGAAACAAGAATCATTAAAAATGAATTTTGATAAGATTCATTCAAGCATGTTGACAATACAAGAGAAACAACATCATTTTATTAATTCATATGAACAACAATTAAATAATGCTTTAATTAATCAAGATAAACAAAATGATTTATATCAAAGAAAATTAAATAAATTAACATATGAACGTCGACAAACTGATATGCGTATTTTATCATTAACTGAAGAAGTGAAACAAAAAGTTTGTTGCATTCTTCATTTTATTTATTTACCTATTTATTTAAACATATAAAGATTAATGGTTAAGATCACGAATCAGTTGAAGCTAGAACACTATGGAAGCACTGTTTGACGGCCGTTTCGTCTTATTGTGGGACTCCTCAGCAGTGCGCATCCACGACTTCGGCCACTGAGAGATTCGAACCCAGGAACTACCATTGAAACTACTATAATATCCATAAAACCTCTCTCTGATTATAATCAATATATGCTCACTAGTGACTGGCTTCAAGAGGTATTTCCTGGAGTTCTAGTGAGAAACAGTGATTAGTAGAGTTCAATCGGGTCTATTATGAGATAGTAACTCACTGAACACAATGATGGATGTGTCGCTCTATTTCGTGGATTAGTTGAAGTTAGACATTAACATAGTAGTTGGATGCCGACCAGCTCAGTGGTCTAGTGGTTAAGTGCTCGTGCGCGAAACCTGTGGGTCCTGGGTTCGAATCTCGCAGGGGAGGGATCGTGGATGCGCATTGCTGAGTAGTCCCACAATAAGGCGAAACGGCCGTCCAATGCTTCCAGGTTTTCCATCGTGGTCTAGCTTCAAATGGCTCATGATCTTAACCATTGAAATTACTATAACATCCACAAAACCCATCTGATATAAAGATTAGTAAAAGAAAGTACCGAATAGATATACGCCACACATGTCACTTGATTTGTGTGTGTCGGTTGTAATACTACTCGAGTGCCCAGGCTGAAGTAGGTGGTTTTCTTAGGGAGCCACCACCAGAGCCTTCGGCTTAAAGGTCTTATTCACAAGGCAGCGGAGGAACGTAAAGTGATGCAGTCCCATGGTAGCCGGTGACCAACGATTGGTTCATACACCTTTTTTTTCCTTCGAAATACTGGAGTACATGTATACCATTGGTTTGGAATCAGAGTTTTCCAACTCCCCCAACTGGACTCTCCGTGTCCACGAACCCGATTAAAGCGTCAAACATTCTCTTTTCGTCTTCTCAATTTCGTAAACAACAGTAAAAGCGCGAGAAGGCAGTGAGCAGGACTTCCCTGTCAGTGGTTGTATTCACGTGGCCAAGTGAGAGCATTTGGAGAAGGAGAGCTGAATCTCTCCACTCTCACCCGTACCATGGCATTTGGGGGCTATATCAGACAATATTGATGGAAGCAGTATTAACTGAAACATCAATAAACATAACATATAATACCAAAGACTTGATTTTTGCAAGAAAAATAATCAAGTGTTGAAGTATGTTATAAAACTGACTATAAATGAAAACACTGGATTTCAAACCAGTAGCATGGAAGTAATATACACCAACAGGAATTAAAGTATAGTACTGCTAGAGCACAATAAAAATGAAACAACCAATCGATTGATAGGTCCTGGGTTCGAATCTTGCGGGGCGGGATCGTGGATACGCACTGCTGAGGAGTACTATACTAGGACGAAAAAGCTGTATTGTGTGTATGAAGCAATCGTTGGTTACCAGCTACCATGGGTTATTGGATATGAACTACACTTTAATTGTCAGAGCTAATTATACTAATCCATTGCCCAAACTGAATTAGATGCGATAGAGTTCAAACCAGAAACTTAATAGCTAAAAGTCGAATGGTTTACCTACTAAATCATCTCCTCCTTTTCTATATAACTCGTTGACTAAGTTCAACTCCCATGTAGTTAATTTTCAGTCACAATCTTTTCTATAATATTTGATGGTTACAGTAACAGATGAAGTAGATTCTAAACTCAATGGTTAAGATCATGAGTTAATTGAAACTAGATCACTTTGGAAAACCTGGTAGCATTGGACAGACGTTTTATCCTAATATGGTACTCTTCAACAATGTGCATCCACGATCCTGCCTCGCGACATTCGAACCCAAGACCTCGTGCACGAGCACTAAACCACTAAACCAATCCATAGACAAATAAACTACTTTTTTTTTCTTACCAATCACTTCATCATATTGTAATAAACGTAAATCTTTGATGTACATCCATTATATATTTTTAGTCAATATTTTTATTCTTGATTAAATTTCTCTTTGTTTGTTTTATCTTGATCAATCATCAGGATCTACAAAATAATGAATTGAAAACAATCAAAGATCAATTACTCTTATCACCAATTCGTTAAATATGAAAAGATAGAAATTATTGGTAACTCTATGTCTTCCAATTTATTATTATTATTATTACTACTGTTATTGTTACTGTGAGTAGTATTGCATTTCAGTGTATGGTTATGACATTCAATATCATGTTGTTATTAGATTATCAGTTGTGATAGGGGGTTCACTTTTCTCTCCTCCTTCAAAACAATAAACAATTTGTAACATGATAGAGTAAAGATTCTATTTATTTATTCATTCATTCATTCATATTTTGCATAGATTTCTATAAGATGTTTCTATTTTTTTTTCTAAAACTAATAAAATTATAATCATAAAGAAGGTTTTATGAATATTATGATAATTTCATGAATCTTCATCGACTGAGATGGCTGGGTCACGTGGTACGTATGCTGGAATGCCGATTACTGGTGTTGGGGATGGTTGGAAGAAAGTTAGGGGTGGCCAAACCACAATGTGGCATCAATCCTTGGAGTTACTAAATTCTGGTCTGAGTCATGTTGGTAGATGCAGACTACTTGGTTGGGGTCCGCGTGACTATCGTAACCAATGGTTGGAGACTCTTGGTGACATGGCTCAGAATTGATCACAATGGTGTAGGTGTTCACAACACTCTCTATCTTCCCCTAAACCATGAGGTTAAAATCGCTTCATATCTTCTTTCTACCAACTAATTCTTTCTTCCTGTAGTATGTCCTTATATGCAATCTTTCTCCTATATATATATTACCACCTTTGACCTAACCACTCCTATGAATCCGGTGTTCATCTTGTTGTGCTCATGCGGTATGGCAACTTGGATCAATGCATATATATGCCTAGTCCTGCGTTGTAGCTGACTGACTGACTGAGTTGAATTCATGAGTCGATTGAAGCTAGATCACCATCAAAAACCTAGAAGCATTAGATGGCTGTTTTTTCCGTAGTATGGAACTTCTCGGCACTGCGCATCCACGATCCTTCTTCGCGAGATTCGAACTCAGGACCTATCGGTCTCGCACGCAAGCGTTTAATCTGTAGACTGCTAAGCCGGCATTCTTCTGGTAGTTTATGTTACACAATGTTAGAAGTTTAATTCCTAGAGAAGATTGATAATAAATTTCAGCAATATCTATATATTGTGCTTATAATTGTTATAATATAGTTAAAATGAAAATTTCAATTTTACCGATTAACTGTGTTCACTAACTGATGATCATATAATTTTCAATGAGTGAATTATCTAATATATTATCGTGGATGCGTACTGTTGAGGAGTTTCACACTAGGATGAAACGGCCGTCGAGTGCCTCGAGGTTTTCCATGGTGGTCTAGTTCCAATTGATTCATGAATTAAACTATTAAATTAATAAAATTGTATTGCACCTAGATCTTACAGTTATTTTTCTCGATGACTTACAGGATAGATAGTATATGATACAGTGTAATTTTCATTTTAAAGTCTAATAGTTTTTCATCCAAATAATTAAGACTCCTCAATTCAGATGGTGGAGACATATATGAGTGTAAACTGTTAGAGTATGAAAAGGGTAAAAATTTGGGTAAGTCTTGTAATCGTGCAACACTAAATTAAGGGTTAATAATGGTGCTCTGTGAGACTGGAACATATATTCGAACGCTTTGCATGCATTTGGGCTTGCTTCTGGGTCGTGGAGGTGTTATGGAGGAACTTAGGCGGTTAGAAACTGGTTTTATATCTGAAAGCGTATGTCCAGTCAAAGTCCTTCATATCACAGGACAATCAGGTCACGATGCATGACATACGAGATGCCAAGTAGCTTTATGACAATAGGCGAGATGAGACTTACTTGCGTCGCATTATTATGCCTCTTGAAAAGCTGCTAATCAAGCACAAACAAATTATGCTTAAAGATACTGCCGTAAGTTGCTTTACACATAGAAGCATGTGTAGATTAACTGTGCGCCATTTGTTACCTGGTGTACTCCGTTACGACGACTACCAAGGGCGAAGCCGTAGCTCTTATTAAGTCATTTCAAAATGACACTAACTTCAAGCTGTTGCACTAATGACTACTGCAACAATCGTGACGTGTTACCATGAATTAGTCGCAAAAATGAAAAGGCTGATAATGGAGCGTGATCTTTATCTTCGCCAGTAGGATTGCGGTCCTGTATCCATGGAAAGGAAAAAACTTGTTGCCCAAGGTTTACCTAAAAAGTTTGCCAAATCTGTCGGTGTGACGACATCAGCACAGACCTCATGTAGACGTCAAGTGTTTGTTCAGAAGAAACAAAACTCTATCAAAATTCCTCAATTCCGAAAATAATTGAAAAATATATTTTGGATACTCTTATGTCGTAGCCAAAAATCTGTATGTAAAATAAGAATTATCTTACTACGGTTAACAGATTAGAAATAACTATGGTAACTGCGATGAAACTGTTTATATTTCAGTCATTTGGTATATTGTTTGTCTTTTGCGATTGTAAGTAAAGTCTTCTAAGAATGTTTGTTGCTTCTTAACAATCATTGAATTATAACAGAAAAAGAAAAACACAGTTTAAACTATGTCGTCATTTGATACGCATTATGTGTTACATACATCTGCTAACGGATCTAGAGAATGAAACCCATAATACAGTAGTATTAGAAAACTAATATAAAACTGTATATATGATGATTAAAAGTACTCGAGTTATTGTACTAACTAGGAATTTCCGAAACAGTGTAATTTAAGCCAGGCAGAATTAGATGAACACAAACGAACGTATTATATTTGGAATACATTACAAGCGGATAATCTGTGATGCGTGCTACTTATATTGATGTAAGTAATATATGATGCGAGTTAAAAATGTAATGTCTGGCAGCAGAAGATGGGGGAAGATCAAGAAAGAAAGAGCGGGAACACAATGCAATTTGTGAGAAAACGCATGAACAATGAAATGTGAGACAGTAGATTGATGATTGTAACAGGAACAGTCCAGTTTGATATGACGGATTGATACTTTGCAAATTAACGATTTACTGTATGGTTTTTCTGTTTTACCAAGTAACTCTGTAATGTTGTATTAAGTACAATTCGATTGTGTCTACCCGTGTTCTGTTCACTACAAACCTAGTACAAAGGAATCATTCATTCGTATAAATACCACAGTATGAAAAGTGTGTGTTGTAGAGAAGTAAAACTGTCTTCTGACTTTATTTAAACTTGGGCTGGGTTTTTTTTTAAAGTGATGAAGTTAACTGTTGTTGTCGTCAAAGATCTACATAGCTAACATCAACTCTCAATATACACAAGTTAAATTCACTTGCTATTATTTTTACTTGAATTTTCCCATTGATGTTTTTGGACTGAAATTGATCAGTCTGTTATTGGCATATGTGCATCCTGTGCGTATTGCCTTAATTTACAAGCATTATGAGCAAAGATGGATGGTGGCTGGCAGTAGAATCCAGTTTGACGCGCGTTACGTCCTATTTGGGACTCGTCAACTGGATATACCTGCATCTCAGAGTTGATATTCACTCCGCGACTCGAACCCAGTACCATTCACTTTAAACGCCATCGCGTTATTCACTTAGTTACATAAGTTGTTTGAATCGTTTTAGTGAAACTTTTTATACATTATTTGAAATAATTCGGTTCGGAGTCACACTTATCACGGCTGGTGTAATTATTCCTTGATTGCTCAAATTAAATTAAATGTCGTTGACCGATTGATAGAACTTGTAGAATCGCCACCAATTTATCTAAGAACTTTTAATTACATCCTACACTGTCATGAACATTACACTAATGGATTTAAGGAGTTTCCATGATCATTACGATAAGTATAAACTTTTGGGGCCTTTTATACTTACTTACTTACGCCTGTTACTCCCAATGGAGCATAGACCGTCGACCAGCATTCTCCAACACACTCTGTCATGGGCCTTCCTTTCCAATTCTAACCAATTGTTGTTCATTTTTGTGATGTCTGTCTCCATTTCTTGACGTCAAGTGTGATTCGATTGGTGCATGCTGTGTTGTGTTGGAGAACTTTGCTGTATGTTGAGACCTACTGCTGCTACACTGGTCGTCTTCTCCTGTATTTGTTGTTGCCTTTTACATTAATTACCCTGTTAATGATACTGATTAAAGTAGGGTTCATGTTGATTGAAATACTGAATAATACGAAGATTTTGTGTTTGATAATCAGTTTACAGCTTTATATAGAATAAAAACACTCATTCATTGTTTACGTATCCATAAATGGTGTTGTATAATTAACGATCAAGAAATATCAGATCTATTATTAAAGCAGATTAATATTTATATACTTAACCTGATATTCCTTGATATTGCAGTCTTAAACCTCAATGGGAAGATACAAGCAAAACGATACCAAGTTTATTTAAATTCACCCCATTTCACAAGCAAGTGGCTATCAGGACTCAGTAACTGAGTAGATAACGCGATAGGATTTGAAGCGAATGGTACTGGGTTCGAATCTCACAGTGGACATGAACTCTGAGATGCAGGTACATCCAGTTGACGAGTCCCAAAGAGGACAAAACGCACGTCCTAGACTCCACTGCTAAACACTATCCATCTTTGCTTAACGTGATATTTCTAAAATCTTATCCAGCTGTATTACTTATAAGTAACTAGTCTTTTATTGCATATATAATTCTTTACGTCATATTGGATAATCATATATTTCCTTTTCATCGATTCATGTAATTAATGCTTGTCCAGCCAATTTTATTTAGTTATTTGCGTTTTTATAACTAAGGGTTCATGCTTAGTATCAACAATTGGAAAGTTAGTCTATCATATGATCAGATGAAACCGACAACATAAAGTATAGTCAATACTTGATAGATAATCTTCATAACGAACTAATACTGTATTAATTCAATCTGTCAAAAGTTATGTAGAATCTGAGATATGTATCCGGCCACTATCTCTTGACATATATTCGTCCTGAACGGATTGTATCGATACCTATCTGATCAGTCACGAATAAGATGGAATGAACGTATTGTATTTAACAGCTA